GATATTCGTCAGCCCATAACATTCAGCGTGAACGGCCACTGGACATCGCTCACAAAGAAGTAGCGTACCGCCTATAAACAAAAGATAGATATTTTGCGTTAGTCCAGATAGCCATATCCCTACCAAAAATAAAACTAACATGCTAAGTTAGTTAGCATAGCAATAAACACTGTTGGAACTACGACTAAAGATAAGCAGACAAGCCTGCAGTCATCATAAGATAATTTTCATTCTGGAAATAGGGAAAGCTCAATTTCCTGAATAGGGTGACGGTGTAACTCGCTTAATTGCCATGTTCTACCCCAGTGAACTCATGGCCAGCCCTCTCAAACTTTCTTAAATTGTTGAAGGTTTAACATAAATGCTGAATCAATATAACTGCAGACAATCTCGAACGCTTACACTCAATAAATATATCTTCGCGTCGTTCCATTTAAAGAGTTGCCCGGAACATGTTTGAGAACCAAGACACACTCTGTACGTTTACATAAAATTAAAACTTTTTTTATTTACGACATGTGCGTCATTTATCTCATTTCCAAGATTCACTAAACCGAACGCTGTAAAGAGTGCTGAAATCAGTTGGACATTTTGGCTACGATGATTTTGAAATGCAATAAATACTTCACAAAGTTTCTGCCTCCAACCTGAGTGGAACAGGAAACCAATGTATGAGCCACACAGTGCAAAACAAAAGTATTGACACAAACTATAAGCCTGACAGTCGAAAAATTTAACTATGCACTCCAATGTAGTTCATTTATTCGATGAATGGCAAGAGTAAAACAAATAATCATCCTCTTCTAACTAAATACCCATTCGTGACTTCTTCAAAGTATGATTCCGTCTCAGTAAACTCGCAATGATTCATCATCCACATATTTAGGGTAGTTCGTCATGTGAATAATAACGACTGCCTATGTTTAGAGCTGTTGTTCCCGCTTGTTATTTTGGAATAACTTACTGCGCGCTGCGGCCAAGTCAAAAAACTTGGTATCGTCATCTCTTCTATGTGCTATAATTGCAAATTTCATTCATGGCTAGTTCTTGTCTACTCAAAACATTAACGAAGGTTCCAAAATTGAAATAAATTCTCTACTCCATTCAATTCACATACACGGATATCACTAACATTCGAACTGCATAACCTTCATCATCTTTTCGTGACGGTTTTGCTTTTTATTTTGCATCCGCTGAGAACCAGATAGCGAATAAATGTTATGACTGTAAACTCATTTTATTCAACAAATAACTTTTTTGAGTACTAATGACAAATTAATTTTGCATACACACCAGAAACAGATATGACTGAAATCGATTCATCAAACGATGAAAATTATAAGCACTGAATAACCATTTTGAATGACAAAATTAACTACTTCTGCATTACCTTTACCGCATACGAAGCAGTAGTTGACACTGACTCGAGTCAATTCCGGGTCACTGTGATTCGTGCAAATTATGAATCGATTGTTCAGCACACGGGTACCGGCTGGTATGCATTGTTCAGCGAGGTGATAGGCAGTTGGACATTTGAGGCAGTACACGAAATTTACTAAGGGCATAAACAGAATTAAACATCCTTCCAGCAGCAAGAACTACTCATCAAAATGGTACCCCGACTGGAAAACCGACATTGCCTTTTCCATGCGACACAGGAGGCACAGAAATGAAGGGGGCAGATCAAATCCTTGTTGTTTCGACTTGGAGATTCAGTTGATTCATCTTCCTCATCAAATATGGCGGCCGTATACTTTTTAACGCATTTTTTATGATAGAACTTTAAGCATCGTTCAATACTGCATGGAACAACGTCGCCAGGTTCAAGGCAGATGAAACACGTATGAGTGTCTAGAAGTCAGTTTTCTTCAAAATTATAAAATCGAAACGAAACATGCAAAATCTATCTAGAAAATATTCGCTCAAACAGCTTCTCTGAAATCAATTCGAAAACAACGAATGCAGCGAGGTTGGGATAAATTACCAGCCACATCAAAGCCAAGGCATATTTTCCCTTAATAAAGGCAATTTTTTGTGCACAGCAGGTAAATGGAGTGCAATTCAAGCAAGTGGGAAAGTCTGAGCATGTTTGAGTAAAATTCAGGAACGATGTCAGTACGAGGCAGAAATATTCGCATCAATCGATCAAATGAGAATTGTAACGAGGAGAGGTAAATCGCTTTATGGCAAAGAAGAACGACTTAAGCAGTAATGCAATGCAGTATCTTCAGTTCTATATATGCAACTAATGAATCCTATACTTATGAGTGTTGAATAGTGAAGGATACAGTATGAATTAAGATATAAGGGGTAGAAAGAACAGTTCTTTGGAAAGATTGGCGGGGTGACGTGACTCGACCATATCAAGAGTACGCCATTTGAGGATGCCTTCATATGTCACACCTTCCCAAATATAGATATCACAATTGCAATCAGTTGACATGTGATCATGATTACAAAGGAGGAACCAGCAAAAACAATTCCCGCTAAACCACACAACACGACGAGGCTACGGAGCATATGAGAAGTCATACGTCAGGGCATAACCAATTCTTGATAGTGCTGCGACATGAAATCCAGCCAGATGAGGTTGCATGGTTCAGCGAGGAACCTGAGACTGAAAGAACTCAAAAGCAGAGCTAGTTAAGGAAATGAATAAATCAATGCACATCTATTATTTTTAACCTATTCACGATTCAAGCAATATTTTCCATCAGATTGTTTAAGCGTCAATAACACTGGTCACACAACGAGCTACGGAAAGAAGAGTCGTGAGGATCTCCAGAAGAGACCGAGTAACAAATGACAGGAGTAGATATCGTATGACAGGCAACGTAAAGCAATCTGGATGTTCCGTAAAAGCTCTCCTGAAGTGGCAACAGAAGGATGAGCGCCGTAACCGAATGATATCCAAGGGAAGTAAAGGTACCAGAGATCGACCACCATTAAAGTAGAAAGGTCTGACAGCGAAAAACCTCGGATTCCTTTAGAAGATAAAAGTGGACAACATGAAAGAACTGTTCTGACCTGCGATCTACATATTGTCTTTAATGATTGAATAATAGATTAATAAAAGTGAAAGTAGATTTCTAGCACTATAGCTTGAAATACTTGTTTTTAAAACAAACAGAATTCAAAAATTTACCTAGTTTACTATCTAATCAACGCAAAACAAGCAATTTCTGACATTACCTGCGGCACATTCATTGCATTTAAATATGGCGGGATTCCCAATTGGGCAGCACCTGACATGAAACGTCTTCTGACAGTATGGCTGTCTACACTTGACTGACTCTTCATGATCAATCAAGTCCTCGCATTTGAAGCAAATTGGATCTTTCACGAGGTATGCTAAAATTACAGTTGACACAGCAACGCAGCGAAAGTACTTTTCTGCCATACTGACAAAAGTAGGTTCCTCCTCATCGTCTTCTAACAGGCTTTCTAGTCTCGGTTCCTTCGGCTCACTCTTCGAACAGTCATTCTACGACACAGTGAGCAGGGTAAAAAAATAATGAATAAAAATAGTGTTTTATTTTACCTTCTTAATGAAACCATTCTTCACTTTCAAAACAGTTGATATTCTTTTTCGACAGAAAGCTGAAAGGAAAAATCTGATTAAACAATGATGCTGCTAAAAAACTTTGGTAAGATCTACCTTTATTAATGGAATCGACAGAATTGCCTTGGCGTTGTCCATCACAACTGATCAAGTTTAAAGAAAACCGCTGATTTTCTCGCTCCGTTTTCGATTTAGATAAAAAGGAAGAGGGTTGTGGTGGAAAATAATGGCCGAAGATCGCCTTAACAACAGAACATCGACCATCAACGCAAGGTGGTAAAACGCGTAAAGTCGGTTCTGTCACCAGCGAAACAAATTTTCCAATCAGAGAACCGCTCGGCTCTTCCTCTGCCTTTTTCATATCTGATTCTGAGCGAAGATAGGAATGAAAGGTGGGTTTTTTCTCAATCAGTCTTTCAGCCTGCTTTTTCCCATTTAAAACTAAAACAGTATCCTTTATTTTAAGTTTTATTGAAAATTTAAGACAGCAGAAAGATTTAATCATTTCGCTCGCAATAAATCAAGAACAACAGTTTCCATTGAAAATAAGAGTAGAATAATTTTCATAGTAAAGTTAGCCTTAGACCAAAAGGGGTAACGCTGGAGACGATGTTTCACGTGTGTACTTCTGCGACTTAAAAGGATAATGGGTAATGGAACCTGAGTAACATTTGGCTGTACTTAGAGACATAGTCGTTTATATAGCAAACCTCGTTACCTATTCAGAAAGTAGATGATATAATGAAATCAATATGCCTTGCCATCCTTAGGGATAAATTATCTCATTCAAAAATAGGATCGCCATATTTTCTCTCTAGATAGCTAGCAGAAAATCGTAATATGTCATTCTCTGGATAATTCACTATCTCCTCGCTTAACAACCATTCTGAAGTTAATGAGTGTTATTTATGACCAAAGTGAAAATATTCAATCGCAATTTCTGTTTGTCGTTACCGCCACCTAACTGTAACTAACAAAACTTCAACAGCACAGCTGTTAACGTTGATAAATATCCGGTCCGGTTATCATATCACATTCTTTATCTCAAGCACATCTGACAAAGCGTTTACAAGTCTTGTCACTACCCAAGCTATCTTTTTGGGCCATGTTAGCAGACAAAGGTATGCAATCAGTCTCTCAGCTAGGCTGACAATTTTCGCAGCCGTTGTCTTCAGCATAAACTTATTCGTAGGTTAATCGTACTATGAGAACACTTTGTAGTGTTGCTCAAATCTTCTTGATGTTTCGACAGCCTGTATTTCCAGACTGATTATATGAGCACTGCAAAAACGACTGATTCCAAGATGGCTAATTTTGTATTGTCCCTATTAATCGATCTTTTCATACTTCATACATCGTCATTATCGCAGAGATTAACTCGTTAATTAAGAAAATATCCTCCAATGACGGCTATGCGAAGTCATTCGTGGACGTATACCAATATCGCACCTGATTTGTCGCGCTGACATACTTTCAGACGATCCGTTAAACGATGATAAGAAGAATATGGAGAACTCCCCCTTCCTTTGCTTTAACGAAATCGTGAGGGAATCATACTGAGGGTGTCACTGCTCAATCTTCTAAACTTTTTATATCTAATTGCAGCATATTTTATACAGCTTTCCGAAATTCGCTGATGACACAGCACTTATTAATGACATGTGATAACAAACATAGTAATTCCCTACCCTACATCGCATAGATGTTCGTTTTAAAATAGCGCCGATATCGGTGTTTAACAGATAACGTCTTTTTAAACATCAGTAAGTCGTAGCCGCAACCATGCCTAATCGAAAGTGACTTTCATCATATGAAGTTGCCAGTGACTTGCTGACCGCACAATTTTAGTTACAATTACAATTTTACTGTTTGGCAGTTCAACCTGCTACTGTGGAACCTCATAAAATCTGAAAACAAAAGAAAATATGCTACCTTCATAATTCACTTGGCTGAAACATAACATGCTGACTGTAAACATTTTGCTCAGTTTGCCTCCAGGTTAATTTGTTTGTTTAACTTTACAGAAAATTTTCAGTCAGTCACTTTCAATGGCTGCTTATTCTATCAGGTCGCGGAGACAGCAGTGTCAGACACTCTCTCCAGTGTACTCAATCCTGCCCTGGCGCCTGACCTTCGACAGAAGACAATTCGAGTCTAGCAAAATCCATCAAGCCAGTTGCTCAAGGGCTTCGGGTTAAGCGAGTAACAACTGTTTCGCCTTGACGGAGACCAGTGCCAACGTTGAAAGGTTTACTATGACGTGGCACCCGCTATAAACGTATTGCGACGGTTGCTGGTCATATCAACTGACAATATATCCAATATTTCTGCAGGTACGCTCATTACCAGTTGCTCGGAACCAACTCCTACATTTTCTCCATGTGTGCAACGCACATTTAAACGGGATGAACGCATTCCAATGACTTCTCAACGATGAGGATCTCACCAGAATTACCTTTGTCTGAGCAAAATCGACATTGGTATTCATGTATTTAGAAGTCAGTTATTCCGCGGACCTTCTTTCGAACACCTTTGCTTAAGCTTTCTTGGGACGCCCAGAAAGGAAAGTAATAATTCCATGATAATTGGAGCACTCTATAATCTCCCTTATTCAATTGAAAAACTAAAACGAAAGTTTTCCAGTCTATTGGAGTCTTTCCCGTACGCACTGCAGTCTGAGAGACAATATGCAATGCTCACCTAAAGTCTTAAGGGCTTCAGGGCGGATTTCGTCGATTCCAGCAGCGTTGCCCTATCAAGTTTATTACAACTTCTAGGACTTCATCTACAAAAAAATTTAATATTCGTTAGCTGGTGCTCTTTGCGCAAGTTTCCCTTCGTTTGCTCAGGGCTAATAAGTATGATATCTAATTTACTATTTTTATTTTTATGCATAATTTACCTTTCCCCTTTTCTTTTTCAAATCAGACTGTTTCATTTTCATTATTAAAATGAAGCCTGCCTTTTGAATCTATGAAAAAAATGAAACCAAAGCCATCAGTAATGTAATTCACAATTAACTTGCCTCCAACTTCAAAAAACACTAACCCGACAGTGAAAAAATCGAATAATATCCTACCCTTTTTGCTGCCAGTAAGACTGAAACGTAATGATGTTAAGCTTCGGCTTCTGCTGCCTGTAAGTGATTTTCCTGCACTGCGAAATTTTACGTTATGGATTCCATCTTCAGAATCTGCAGTCAGCGATGATGCACTTTGTTTCGCTTTCTCTTCGGCTAGTCTTGTACGTTTCATTGCTAAAGAAGCACGGTGAACTACAATGAGTAT